TGCTTAGCTAGCTAGTAATCGTGCACGCACGTGACACGACGAGAGCACCAAATGGCGGGGATGCTTGACCGTAAGCCTTCAGCTAAACAAGTCGACTTAAACAGTGATGGTCAGCATCCAATGTTGAGTGATGATTGCTGTGGTTAATAATTTTGGGGAATTATTTACCGCTACAGCTCACTCCCCCCCTAGTGGGGTTGTGAGGACCCTAAGACATGACCAGCCGGAAGTAAAAAAATCTCGATGGTTCCCTGACGGGTGTAAAAAATCTTCCGAGCGGCTTGATGGAGTGCCTGCTGGTCTGTCTTCCTATGCTAATAGGGTGTCTGTACATAGCTTCCTCAGTGTTGTTCGTTGGATCCCGCGCTTCGTTTGTTTCCTGTCCAGTGCCCGTTGCACCTGGAAAAGAAAACAAGAATGCTGAGAACCTTGTCAAGAAAAATGTACCAAATAAGCGTTTTTTTTACCAAAAAAATATGACATGCATCTACTATACAGTAAAATAATGTAAAGTTCAAAATATCGGGAAAAAAATATACATCTTATATAATTTTATGTACGGTTATAGGAAAAATATCATTTACTTGTGTTAAATGACGCAACATAAAAAAAAATTGATGTGTCACTCAGTTATGTGAGATAGGTGTGAAGGTATTCTGGAAATCTAACGTGACGTCCAGAACGCGTTTTTTTAAAGTGATCGACCGAAGGTTCGGTGGCTTTCGCCGTGCTAGGGAGTTCTTCGAAGACTGAAGTAGATTCAATTACTTGTGAATTATCGGGTACGTTTAGCTCCAGGCTAATGGGATTACCTTCCAAGTAAGCTGGTTTCAGACGGTCGATACAGACGGTGTCTTTTTTTTTTTTTTTTTCTAAAACGAAGAATTTATCAGTACGTTTAATCACTTTATATGGTCCGTCGTATGGGGGTTCTAGAGGACGACGTACCGAGTCGCGACGAACAAATACATGTGAAGAAGTTTTTAAACAAGGGTGAACAAAAACATCAATGGACTGTGGTCGGAGGGGAGCAGGTTTAACTGAACGCATAGCGTTTGTAAGCCTGCTGACGTATGAGGAGTGATCTACTACTGGTGGGAAGCTCGAGGGAGAAACAAACTCACCTGGCAGTCGTAGTGTTGTGCCATATACTAGCTCAGAGGTAGTACAACCAGCATCGGTTTTTAAGGCGTTTCGTATCCCTAGGAGAACTAACGGAAGGGATTCAGTCCAGTGGGTGTTATTTGCAGCTGATAAACCAGCTTTCAACTGTCTGTGTAGACGTTCTACCATACCATTAGCTTGAGGATGGTAGGCTGTCGTTCGAAAACGCATGCAACCAAGGATTTTAGTCAAAGCGAAGAATAAAACGCTTTCGAATTGCCGCCCACGATCAGTTGTTATGGAAGATGGGCATCCAAAGTTTGCGATCCATCTCTCTACAAAGACGCGTGCGACAGTTTCAGAAGATATATCCTTGATGGGTACTGCTTCAGGCCATCGTGTGAAGCGATCGATGCAGGTTAACATATAGGTGTATCCATGAGATTCTGGAAGGGGGCCAACTAAATCTATATGGACGTGTTCGAAACGGGCATCAGGGATAAGAAAAGTGCCAAGGGGGCTTTTAGTGTGTCGTATTACCTTGCACTTTTGGCAAGCTAAACACGTCTGTGCCCATTCCCTTACTTCTTTGTTAATACCAGGCCAACAAAACCGACTAGTTACGAGCTTGACAGTAGTTCGAATACCTGGATGGGATAAGCCATGCAACGTATTGAAGACGTTACGGCGATAACTTTTAGGCACGATGGGGCGAGGAGTACTAGTGGAAATGTCACACAGAATAGTATCCTTTCCTATACCTAAGGGTTTCTTGGCTAGTTGTAGAGTTGTTTTCGACAACTCACGCTGAAGCTCGGAATCTTCTTTTTGAAGACGAGCCAGTTTTACAAGGTCTATGCCGTCCATTTCGGTGAAAGAACAAATACGTGACAAGGCATCTGCCACAGTGTTGTTTACTCCGGTAACATGGCGAATATCTGATGAAAACTGTGAAACGTAATCTAGTTGTCGCGATTCCCTGGGTGAATACTTATCTGAAGTTGAGTTCAGAGAGTACGTCAGAGGTTTGTGGTCAGTGAAAATGATGAATTCACGACCCTCAACTGAATGTCGAAAATGACGTAGAGCACAGTACATAGCTAGAAGTTCCCTTCCGAATGTGCTGTACTTCGTTTCAGCTACTTGAAGGCGCCTCGAGAAAAAGGCGATTGGTTGCCACTCGTTGTTAACTAGTTGTTGCAGAACTGCGCCGATTGCAGTGTCTGATGCATCAACCGAGATACTCAACGGTGCCGTTGGATCCTAATTCATAAGAAAGGTGGCATCTGCAATAGCTTTCTTTACCTGAGTAAAAGCATGTCGAGCAGACGTGTCGAGTTCGATAGACTTGTTGTTCCCTCGAAGGAGATCGGTTAATGGCTGAATTAGCGAAGCACAATTAGGAATAAAACGTCGGTAACAACTTACCAAGCCGTTAAAAGTGCGAAGGCATTTTACTGTCTTTGGCTCCGGAAAGTTCAGTATTGCTTCGACTTTGGTAGCCAGTGGGCGTATGCCCTGACAGTCAATAGTGTGACCCAGAAAATCGAGTGAGTCAACACCTATCTGACACTTCTGTATATTGATGGTAACACCATGTTGGCGTAACCTTTCAAATGCCAAGTCCAAGTGTCTAAGGTGAGTTTCCTTATCTGGACTGGCAATGAGGCAGTCGTCTAAGTATGCGTATACAAAGTCGAGACCGCGAAATACTTCGTTGATGAAGCGTTGGAGTGTTTGTGCCGCATTCCGGAGGCCGAATGGCATACGTAGGAATTCAAAAAGTCCGAAAGGCGTGATGATAGCCGTTTTCGGGATATCTTCCGTTGCCATCGGGAATTTGGTTATATGCTTTAACCAAGTCGATTTTGGAGAATATAGATGCTCCAGATAACGTTGCCGTCAAGTCGTGTATGTGAGGCAAAGGGTAGCAATCAGGAGTTGCTTTGGCGTTGACTCGCCGGTAATCACCAGTGGGTCGCCAATCGTTACTATCTTTTTTTGGAACCATATGCAATGGGGATGCCCATGGACTATTCGATGGCCGAATGATGCCAAGGGTGAGCATATGATCGAATTCGTTTCTGGCAATTCTCAGTTTGTCAGGGGCCAGTCGTCGTGCTTTAGATGTCACGGGCTGTCCTGAGGTTATGATGTGGTGCATAACATT